CCTGATCAGCGTAGCAGTCACCTCGGACTTCTTCGCAAGAGGGAACACTGTGGTGTACCTGGAGAAGTCGTCAACGACCACCAGAAAGTATCGCTCCCTCCCAGACCCCTGCGTCGGGGCAGGGCCCCAGACGTCCAACTGGAGAGTCTCGAAGGGAGGGTGGCCGGACGAAGGGAGGAGGAGTGGGGAGTGACGCGTAAGCGACCGGCGACGCACGGAGAGCAAGGAGGGGCAAGCGAGAGAGGGAGCGACGGGAAGGTGCGTGGGAGACCTGAGACAAGTCCCTGACTGAGCATGCCACGTAGGCGAGGGAGCGACGGGTGGCCAAGGCGGTGGTGCCACAGGACGGTGCGGTGGGTGAGAGAGCGACAGGAGCGACGCCGCGACTGGACTGGGCACAGCGACCGGACCGGACACTACTACCTGGCTAGACACAGCAACTGGACTGAGGACCTGGGCTGGAGGGGACGCAACGACCTGAGGGGAGGACGCGACCGGGGAGCGCTCGGTGTGGAGAACGTAGAGACCGGAGCGGGGCTCCCTGGTGAACGTGGCCAGAACAGCACCTGTGGTAGCGTCTGTACAGACTGCAGTCCGCCCACCCCCCACGAAGGTAACCGTGATCCCCCTGTCCTGGAGGTATCCAACACCCACCAAGTTCCGAGTGAACGAGGGGATGTGGAGGCCGCGCAGGACACCAGAGGGGACCACACGGCACGGGAGGGTGGTGGAGCTACGCGCAACCGCTGGTCCAGAGGTAGGATCAGCCAGAGCCACCGACACAGGTGTGAGGAGTGGTGTAAGGGTCGTGTGGTCGCGGAAGAAGCACTGAGACGCGCCCGAGTCCAGCGTGAACGACAGAGAGGCCTCAGCCGGCGGGTCACCTGACCCAGTCGCTACACAAGCACCTAGAGCAGCAACACAAGCACCTAAGCTAGACAGGCACAAGGCTACACTAGCAGGAGGCAAGCAGGCTAACCTACGAACACGCGAGCACACAGATCCATCAGCACTAAAGTCAGCATCAACATACAAAGCATGCTGACGCGCATCGTCCATGGACAAATTAAAGACATCAATCTTACGGGCTAACAGACGAGACCAGCGGGGCGTGACCGCCAGAGGGCCCCAACGAGCCCGGTAGAGGTCGTCGAGGCGGCGGAAGCACCGCGCGGCAGAGTGGTCGTCGCGACCACAGAGACAGGGGCTCCCCAGCCCGGTGACGCACCAGTGGGTGCACGGGCCAGCGTCACGGCGAGGGGGGCGAGGGGCCCAGCTGGAAGTACTGCTGCTGCGGCTGGTGCTCCCAGGGCCGCCCGCACCCCACTGCGGCGGGGGACCCCAGTGCTGCTGCGGACCCCACTGCAGCGGGGGCCCCCACTGCTGGGGTGCCTGCTGCTGCTGCGGTCCCTGCTGCTGCTGCTGTCCCTGCTGTGGCGGGTGCTGCTGTGGGTACCGCTGTGGCTGCTGCTGCTGTGGGCCTCCACCAGTGGGAGGGCCCGGCTGTCCGGCGCCCGCTCCAGGGCCCCCTCCTCCCGGTGCACTGTTCTTTGTACCGGTCTACGTCGACGACCTGGTTTTCGCCACTGCTGACAGGGTTGCTTTGGCTGACGTGAAGCGCGAACTGCAGAAGAGACACACGTGCACTGACCTTGGTGAGCTGCGCCACTACCTTGGCCTGCAGATCACCAGGGACAGAGCCGCTCGCACCATTACACTCTCACAGTCACACATGGTGCAGTAGGTCCTTCAGCGGTTCGAGCTTCAGCACTCCACAGTACAGCGTACACCTCTTGCTATTGACCACAGACTCACTTGACCCTTCCCTGACGAGCCGTTTGAGCCTAGTGGTCCTTACGCAGAGCTTGTGGGCTGCCTCATGTGTCAAACATTGTATGTTTACATTGTGTAGGCTATAGTGGGTTTAGCCTTAGGGGGTACACAAACTTAGGGTTTCCTACTTGTACCCAACTTTGTGCTAGTTCATCCATTCCTGTTTCTTTCAGTTTGACATGGTACAGGCAGCGCGGAAACCGGCGTCAAGCGAGCGGAGGTGAGTCACTAGGTCGGAAACAGTCGCAAACGAGCCTAGGTCGGGAAACACAAACGGCATGAGGAGGCGACTGAAGGAGGCAGAGGAGGGGGTGGAGTAGCGAGCAACAATAGCCTCCCAAACCCCCTGTGCAGTCTCCACCTGGTCAAAGTAGGCGGCCTCAGTCGGGGGGAGAAGCTCCGACAGAGTGAGAGCGGCGGCTGCGTCACGCGAGAGCCACACGTCCCTGGCCAGGACCCGACGGTCGTAGTCCGCCTGTGCCGTAGGGGTCGGCTCCGGGGTGGTCGGCAGGGCGGCGGGGGACGGGGGGGCCTGTAGGGCACCAGACGCGTGAGCCCACAGAGTGGCGCCGTCCTGTCGCTGGCTGGTGAGGAAGCGTGTGGTCTGGCGCTGCCAGGTACCGAACTCGATTGGGCGTCCCTCCGCATCGAAACGGAGGCGACGGGCCTCCATAGCGGAGCCCATGCTAGAGGCGGCTGGAGCACGGCGGAGGCGGAGCTAAGAACGAGGAGGAAAACTACGGAGCGCCAGGAGAGAAAGCGGCGGAGCGAGAGACTAGGAGTACCGAGCGACCTAGACTAGGCGTGAAATCGTGGATCGCCAGCTACAGGTGCGAGGAGCGAGGTATGAGCGGCTAAAACGGCTCTAACCTAGGTGACCGGCGAGAGAGAGCGGCTGCCAGCCGCTGAGGGATAGACCAGTGTCAGCAGAGCTGGGGAGGGCCCCGCGCACAAGGCGGTGGTGGGGCTAAGGTGATGAACAGTGAGAGAGGGGCGGGGAGGCCGAGTGCGACGGTGAAAATGGGCGGGAGGAGGATCTGACGGTGGGAAATGGGCGGGGAGGGGAGGTTGACGCGACGGGCAAGGGAGGGCGACGGGATTGGGAGGGGAGGGCGACGCGACGGGCAGGGGGAAGGGAGGCGACGCGACGGGCAGGGGAAGGGGAGGCGAACGCGACGGGCAGGAGGAGGGGAGGCGACGCGACGGGCAGGGGGACGGGAGGCGACGCGACGGGCAGGGGGACGGGAGGCGAACGCGACGGGCAGGAGGAGGGGAGGCGACGCGACGGGCAGGGGGACGGGAGGCGACGCGACGGGCAGGAGGAGGGGAGGCGAACGCGACGGGCAGGAGGAGGGGAGGCGACGCGACGGGGAGGGGAAGGGGAGGGGTGGCGACGCGACGGGGAGGGGGAGGGCGCGACGGGCAGGGGGAGGGCGCGACGGGCAGGGGGAGGGCGCGACGGTCAGGGGGGAGGGCGCGACGGGCAGGGGGAGGGCGTGGAGGGCGCGGAGGGTACTAACGTGCGGAGGGCGCGGAGGGCACGAACGTGCGGAGGGCGCGGAGGGCACGGAGGGGCGGGCCGAGGGGCGCACTAAGGGGCGCGACGTGGGGCGGGCTGAGGGCCGCGCTAAGGGGCGCGAGGGCGCTAGGAGCGCGGAGGGCGCGGAGGGCGCTAGGCGTGACGGAGGGCGCGGAGGGCGCTAGGCGCTACGGAGGGCGCGAGGGCGCGGAACGGAGGGCGCGCCGGCTAGGGCGGGGAGGGAGGATCGATACCTACTCGTGATACCATCTCAGAATCTACATGCAACGGAATGCTTGGGATTAGGGTTTGCAAGCATACAAATAGGAGTCCTACAAATGTTGTACCCTCTAGGGAGTGCCTCACTGCAGCCTATCATAACATTAACATTTGACACGTTGCACTCCGTTCTTGAGACTGTAGCAGCTGTAGCGGCAACAGTGGTGGCTGCAGCGGCTGTAGCGGCAGGAGTGGTGGCTGCAGCGGTTGTAGGGGCAGTAGCAGCGGCTGCAGCGGCTGTAGCGGCAGCAGTGGCGGCTGCAGCGGCTGTAGCAGCAGAAGTGGCGGCTGCAGCGGCTGTAGCGGCAGGAGTGGTGGCTGCAGCGGCTGTAGGGGCAGTAGCAGCGGCTGCAGCGACTGTAGCGGCAGCAGTGGCGGCTGCAGCGGCTGTAGCGGCAGCAGTGGCGGCTGCAGCGGCTGTAGGCGGCTGCAGCGGCTGTAGCGGCAGCAGTGGCGGCTGCAGCGGCAGTAGTGGCGGCTGCAGTGGCTGTAGCGGCTGTAGTGGCGGCTGTTGCGGCTGTAGCGGCAGAAGCGGAAGCTGCAGCGGCTGTAGCGGCGGTTGCAGAGGCTGCAGCGGCAGTTGTGGTGGCTGCAACGGCTGTAGTAGCAGCTGTAGAAGCAGTGGCGGCAGTTGCAGCTGCGGCAAGAGCAGTGGCGGCAGCTGTTGCGGTCGTAACATGCCTCACACTTGCTGTTTCGACCAATTCATCGCGCAATTTTTTTTTGTTTTGAAGTCTGTTAAGGTAACGAAATCGCTTGAATGACCAAGTCTGACAAGAGGCCAGCCTGACTAGAGAGGCCGTAGGAACACACTCTTAGTCATTCATTCACCATTCCGCTTGCCTATCTCTGACACTTCCTAAGTCCTACGTTCTAAGTACACTCTGACAGACAATCAAGAGAGGCGTTAGAAGTGATGTGGCAAATTGGAGTATGAAAACAACAAAATATACACAAATACTAGATTCCCTACATCTATCACGACGACCTTCACTCCTTGTTTCACAAGGCGTGGAAAAGCAAGCTTTACATGGCATTGCTTGCTGTTCCATGCCCTAGAAAACAGATGGAGGAGCTTTTAAACACACGCAAGAACGTCCTCGAACAAAACCCTGGTAGAAACATGAAATGCAAACTCCTGCACCCACCCTGCTTTCCCCAACCCCCTTTCGCCAATCCCTCAGTCACCCTAGTACACCCTCTCCTGCAGCCAGCAGCTTCACACACTATCATCCCACGCAAACTGAACACTTATTGAACAGCACCAATGCTTACCCCTGCCATGCATGCACCCACACATGCTTCAGCCTCCCCTCACCTATACCAACCGCCTAATCCCCTGTCCAACTCCCACACTCCTACCATTCGTCTAGTCATCATCCTGGTCCCTGCCGTTGCGCAGGCACTGCCCCAGAGGCACGCGCCTGCCCGGCCTGCCCATGCGCCCCAAGCCCAGCGCGCAGTTCACTCCGTGCACCGCCCCCCCCGTGCACCGGAAGGCATCGGGGCGCGTCACGGCTGCTGCCTGCCCCCACCCCCTGCCCACTCGCAGCACCAGCGGCGCGCTGCCCTGGCTCTGCTTCACCAGCCGCCCTGACCCCGCCCCCGCCGCACACGCAAACTGTGAGAGAGAGGGGTTTGGGAAGGAGAGGGGCGAGGGAAGAGGGGTGGGGGAGATAGTGAGAGTGGAATAAGGGAGAGGAGGGCGAGGGGTGGGTGACAGGGAATACGTTCTTGGGAAAGTGCTGCACACGAAGAGAACCAGAGTTAAAAACGAGAGTGCAATGTGATTTCCATGTGCAGCAGTGACGCTGCTTGCTTGCAAAACAAGCATGTAAGGTGGTTGGAAAAGTGCAGCAGCGATGCCTGTTCTCACCTTGTAGTTCTTGGTGCGCGCCTGCATGCGCGAGTAGGGGCGGGCGGCCTTGACGACGTGCAGCAGCAGCTGCTCCCTCAGCATCACCGGGTCCCCTCGCACCGCCGGGGGCAGCTGCCCCATGGGCACGTCGGGGATGGCCAGCAGCGTCACTCCGCCCGCACACATCACCTCCGGGAACTCCGCCGCCAGACCTGTTGGGGCACACGGGGATGGCAGGTGAGATGGCAGGTGGGATGGCAAGTGAGGGGGCAGGTGGGATGGCCAGCAGCGTCACCCCTCCAGCGGTAGAGGGAGAGGGAGAGGGAGAGGGAGAGGGAGAGGGAGAGGGAGAGGGAGAGGGAGAGGGAGAGGGAGAGGGAGAGGGAGAGGGAGAGGGATCAGAAGAGGGAAAGAGATAGCAGCAGGACAGGGGCAGCGCCGGCAGCGGCGCCAGCAGCAGCGCCAGCAGCGGCGCACCTGTCTGCTGGAGCGCACCTGTCTGCTGGAGCGCACCTGTCTGCTGCAGCGCACCTGTCTGCTGGAGCGCACCTGTCTGCTGCAGCGCACCTGTCTGCTGCAGCGCACCTGTCTGCTGGAGCGCCGCGGCGAACTTGTTGAATCCGCTCTTCCGCAATCCGCTCATCAGCTTCCCCGCCTGCTTCGGCCCGTCACACGCCTGCACGTCCACGTCAGCAGCCGCCACGGCGGCATCCGCGCTCGCGGTCACCGCGTTCTTCCGCCCACTGCCGTCGCAACTCGCACTGCCGCTCTTGTTGCACGTCCCCGTGCCTTTCTTCCCCGAATTCCTCCCAGCGCCATTGCCGCCGCGACCACCGGGGTTGCCGCCGTTCTTGTTGCCGCTGCACGTGCCGGATTTCGCGCACGAACCGTCGCGCTTCCTGTCGCGGTCCTGGTTGCCCGTGCCGTCCCGCTTGCGATCTTGATTGTCGGCAACCGCGAGGCCGACGAGGAGCATTGCGAGGACGGCTATAACGAGGATGTTCTTCGATGCCATGGCTGTTCACGTCGGTTCAGGCGGTATAGGGAACACCGAGAAACTCGAATGGTTGAGTACGAAAAGGAAGCTTGCGTAAATTGAAGCGATCGGAAGTTCTGTTCTGCTTGAAATCATATCTGCTGATCCCAAATCACCCACAACTTTTGTAGGCATGCGTTCAAGGGCACGCTTTGCAATCGGACCGCGGAGGTATGAACAGGAGACGAGACGGATTCGCCCGGACTTGTCGCGCTCGAGGCGCAGGCGGTTCGGGACGAGAATGGTCCCGCAAACGACAACGCTTCAGGCGAAATGAGAGAGCGAATAGCGGCAGTTAATACAGCGGCGGAAGAAAGTCGCCTGCGAAAATACCTCCAGACCGGTACACTTTCACAGCAATAGCGACCGACAAAGTAGACCGAGGAAGGCAGATTTGGTGGTAACCCGTCTGCCAGAAAGGAAGGTGAATGCGAAATGGCGGGCTGACTGGTGCTTGGAGGGCTTGGGATTGAATGGAAGCACCAGCTTGACCCCGAACAGACAGAAGAAGCCCATGAAGCACCCACCAGCAAGGAATCAGGCACACATACTATTACGGGTGCAATGGAACAAGATACGGTAGCGAGGATTGCACTAGGTATCAAACGAGTACAAAGTATGAGCGAAGTCATGAGAGAATACTTATGTGCTAAAACATGCAATGGTTACGCGGTGCGTGCGAGCTAGCTAGTGCTAGGCTGGCATCGAGGTTCGGGCTAGTCCCGAAGGGTAGGCCGACTCGGCCAGGCCAGCGGTGCATGGTTTGGTAAAACAGTGCGTGCGAAGTTGGAGAAGCCCCGTTAACCGTAACGGGCGAACAACGGCTGCTGCTGTACGCGATGTTGAAGTACTCGATAAGGAATGCTGAAAAAAATCCTTACACATACACAAGCGTTACAATATTATGCACAATGAACTGTATTACAAAAAAAAAAGGTATACTGTGCACACTTTGCCTCCCGAGCCCACAGTTGACCTCGCGAGCCCACAGTTGTCCTCTCGAGCACAGATTTGTAAGGGAAAACCCCGACTTTCGAAAGTGCACGTTCGGCTGGTTTACTTGCTGCTGAAGCAACCCCGCGTCGCCTTCGGTTTTCCTTTGCCAAACATGCACCCAACCTCGTGATCCCGAGGTTTCCGCCTAGCTAGGTTGACCCGCTATATAATCGTTCATTCAGTTCATTCAGTCACAAGTTTCGTTATTCGTTTTGCACGCAACTATGTTTGACAACTCATAACAATTGGTACCAGTGCAGGGCTTTCTTTTCTTTTTTCGCTACCCATGATTATGTCAAGAATGAAAATGTTGGTTTGACTAAGGTTGGTTGGGGTACATAAACCTAACCCTAACAGTTGTACCCCCTATAACACACCTCATTAAGACTACCACATCTGACACACCCCCATAGTCTAAGTGAGGGGTGTCAAGCAAAACCAAAAGTGTACGGTCACAAGACCAGTCACAACGAAACAAAGCTCAGGGTGGATCACAACGTCACCACACACTCCGAGCACAAGCAAAAGAGCCACAAGACTAGTTCAAGAGTTCACAGAGGTATATATAAAGCGTACAAACAAGGCAAGCAGAGAACTCAAGACAACGTAAGGCGAGAACCTGTGTCAACGAGACCTAACTGCACACAACACCTCTGGTGGTCACAAGGCGGAAGCGCCTTGGTGAAGATGTCTGCAATGTTGGCCTCGGACTCCACAAAGTCGAAGCGAGCCTGTCCACGCCTCTGCAATTCTCGTAGAAGAAAGTACCTGACGTTTATGCGCTTCACTCTGCTCTCCAGTCGCGGCTCTCGACAGAGGAGAATCGACGCCTTGTTGTCAGTGAACAAGGTCGGCGCAGAGCTCGGCTGCTCACCAAGGTCGGTGAGCAAGAAGGTCAACCAACGCAGCTCCTGTGCAGCCATGGCTCCAGCGTAGATCTCAGCCTCAGCGGTAGAGGTCGAGACCGAGGAGGAACGCGTTTACCTCCAAGAAACAGCTGCAGTGCCCAGGCTGAAACAGTACCCCTGAGTAGACCTGTGAGTCTCGGCGTCATCAGCGTAAGAAGAGTCACAGTGTCCAGTAAGTACAACAGACTGCTGCCCTCCAAGAACCAGCCCCACGCCTGATGTCGTCGCTAGGTACTTCGCCACCCTCACAGCAGCTGTCCAGTGAACTGGACGGTGTCTCCCTGGTGCAACAAAGCAAGCCAGGATGTTGAGAGGGAAGGCGAGGTCCGGGCGAGTACAAGTCATCAGGTACATGATGTCAAACTGAAAGAAACAGGAATGGATGAACTAGCACAAAGTTGGGTACAAGTAGGAAACCCTAAGTTTGTGTACCCCCTAAGGCTAACCCACTATAGCCTACACAATGTAAACATACAATGTTTGACACACCCCCATACGCGAAGTGGGAGACAACCAGAGGGTCACAAGACCAGTCAAAGCAAAGCAAAGTAAAGCAAAGCTCAGGGTGGATCTCAAGGATACCACACAAATTCCGAGCACAAGCAAGCGGTCACAAGACCAGTTCACATGCAGTTTGATAATAAACAAGAGGTACAGTGATCACAACCTAGCAAGTGTAAGCATGTAGGTATATATATAGAGATCACAGTACAAGCAAAGTCAAGAAGTGAGCAAGTGAGGGACAGTAGGCACAAGGCCTAGAACAGTACAGAAACGCTGATGATCACAAGGCTGAAGCGCCTTGGTGAACACATCAGCAGTGTTGGCCCGAGTGGCCACGTACGAAAGACGAAGTTGACCACGCTGCTGCAGCTCTCGAGCAAGGAAGTAGCGCAGAGCGATGTGCTTCGTTCTGTGCTCCAGTCTGTGCTCCTGACACAAGGCAAGGGCCGCCTTGTTGTCGACGTACAGCACTGGAGGAGAACGAGGCCGCTCTCCCAGGTCGGTCAGCAGGTAGGTGAGCCAGCGAAGCTCCTGGGCAGCCATGGCTGTGGCGTAGATCTCAGCCTCACAACTGGAGCTGAGAACAGAGGAAGAGCGTGTAGAACGCCAAGAAACTGAGTCAGAGCCAAGGCTGAAGGTGTAACCCTGAGACGACCGCTGTGTAGCCTGGTCGTCAGCCCAAGAAGCGTCTGAGTGTCCAGTGAGGACAACGTCGCGCCGTCCTCCAAGCACAAGCCCCATGCCCGACGTACTACACAAGTAGCGCAACACCCTCTTAGCTGCATCCATGTTCTCCTTCCGATGACGGCCAGGAGCGACATAGCGTGCTAGGATGCTAAGAGGGTAGGCTAGGCCAGGTCGAGTGCAAGTCATCAGGTACATGAGGTAGCCCACAAGCTCTGGATACGGGCCACTCGGCTCTACGGACTCATCCGAAGGCAGAGCTGAGAGCGAGTGACCGGTAGGCAAAGGAGTGGGCTGAGGCGAGGAGTACGTGAAGGGGAAGCGCTGAAGGACCTGCTGCACCATGTGTGACTGAGTCAAGGTGATGGTGCGCTGTGCTCTGTCCCGGGTGATCCGCAAGCCAAGATAGCTTGTCAGCTCACCCAGGTCTGTGCACGTGTGTCTCTTCTGCAGCTCCGACTTCACGTGGGCGAGTGCCTGAGTGTCAGCAGTCGCAAAGACCAAGTCGTCTACGTACACGAGAACGTAGAACGGCGGCAGAGTGGTGTCGGTGCGTAGAAACAGCGACGGGTCAGCAGTAGAAGGAGCAAACCCAAGAGCAGCAAGAGTAGTCCTCAGTGTGTCGTGCCACTCACGGGGCGCCTGGCGGAGACCGTAGACTGGCCGCCGGAGGCTCCACTGGGTACCAGGAGGGAACGAGACAGTGAAGCCAGGTGGGCGGCACAGCCAGATCTCCTCGTGCAGGGTGCCCTGTAGGAATGCAGTGCTGAAGTCAAGGCAGTGGAGCTCGTAGTCACGCTGAGCAGCGACGTGCAGTAGAACCCGAAGAGTGGTCATCTTCGGGGTCGGGGAGAAGGTCTGAAAGAAGTCAACTCCCTCTTGCTGACTGAAGCCTTGTGCAACGTAACGCGCCTTGAAGACAGGCGGAGAACCCGGCAGCCGCTTCACCCTGAAAATCCATATGCCACTGACGATGTTCGCCCCAGGTGGGGGAACCTCGTCAACGTAGGTGCCTGTGGACTTCCAGGAAGCCATCTCTGCGTCCATGGCTGTCTGCCACTGAGAGGAGTAGAGACCCTCCATCGCCTCTGCGTAGGAGCGTGGGGTCGGGATGTCTGGTGCATCCGGGTCTCCCTCAGGGGCAATCAGCATGGACACGAGATGAGGTAAAGCAGCAGCAAAGCACTCAAACTCCTCCTGTCTGTCCTCAAGGACGTCCGTGCCAAGAGCACACTCAACCCCGACGGACGGAGGACAGACAAACTCAGACTCAGCGACAAGGCTAGCGGCGTAGTCTAGACGACAGGCGGCAGCAAAGTCAACAAGCTCAGCGACTAGAGCAGACGCAGCAGAGGACTCAAAGGTAGGGTCAGTGACAACAGTGGCAAGGAGACGCGCGACAGTAGGACTGGCAGCACGAGTAAGGTCTGACGGCGGGTCGGCAACGTCAGGAAGAGAGGACGCAGGAGGAGACGGCAGAGGGACGCGCTGTGGAGCAGTGGACGGACGCAGGGTCATGTAGTGAGTGCCTAGGACAGGAGGAGGACGCTCACGTGGAGCACGACGACCAGTGCGGGCAGTGCGGACAGGCGACTCTGGACGAGACTCAGAAGACGCAGGACTAGACTCAGGCGACGGAGGCCGAGACTCAGGCTCACGACGCTCCGTAAGACTACCCGACGGCGCAGTGTAAGGAGAAGGAGCAGGCAGCGGAGAGGCAGACTGTAACTGTGACTGCGACTGGACAGACGGTGGACTCAGTAGGGGAGGAGAAGGACCAGTAGAGGGCGGGAGACCAAGAACCTGCTGAAGGAGTGGAACGTAGTACGGCCTCGGCCGCTCAGCACCTCCAGCTCCAACCCCCTCAGCAGGCTCAGTCCCAGCAGC